TTCATCTTCTTTCTGACCGCCGAGCACGAGATCAAGAGCTACAAGGTGATCACCGAGGGTGTCGGGGGCTTCCCTCACCAATTGAACCAGCACTGGCGCTTCGGGTCCTCCCTCTCGCGCCTGGGAGACCTGGACGGCGACGGGGTGACGGAGCTGGCAGTAGGGGCGATGGGCATGGGAAAAGAGCGGGGCGGGGTCTTCGTCCTCTTTATGAACAAGGACGGGACGGTCAAAAACACGCATCTGATCGCGTCCTTGCGCGGTTGGGACCACAAGCTGGTCGTGCAGGATCAATTTGGCTCCGCCGTCCGGGGGATGGGCGACCTCGACGGGGACGGAGTGCCCGACATGGTCGTCTCGGGCGATGGCTTCCCCGCGGGCGAAAGCTACGGGGCAGTCTGGGTCCTCTTTTTGAACGTGGACGGCTCGGTCAAGTACTGGCGGCGCCTGGACGAATTCGACCCGCTGCTGGAGCCTGAAGCCCTGTTTGGAGCTTCCTTGGCATCCTTGGGGGATCTGGATGGGGACGGACGGCAGGAGCTCCTGATCGGCGCCCCAGGCCTGCATGAATTGAGGGGAGAAGCCTTCATTGTCTCCCTTGACAAGGAAGGCCGCGTGCGGCATTACAAGACCGTCACCGATTCCGACTCGGACCTGGAGGCGGTGATTTCTTCCAACGATGAATTTGGATGGTCGGTGACAAGTCTGGGCGACCTGGACGGGGACGGAGTGCCGGACCTCGCCGTAGCGGCAGAAACCTCGCCGGGGGAGACCAATCATCCCTCGCTCTACATGCTTTTCTTGGCAAAGCAGGACGAAGGGCCTGGGGCAGCGGGTGCCGCCCGGGCAATGGAGGAGAAGGGAGCGGCGGCACAGGAAACCAAACGTCGTTTGCGATGAGCACGTGGCATAGGAACGGCGCCTGGTGCCTGGCTCCAGGATTGAAGTGATGGATAAGGCGACACAAAAAAGGGACATGCGGGAGGATGAAGGGCTGGAGATGGATGCGGCCAGCGAAAAGAGATGGGGAAGGGAAAAGAGAGTGGCGAGGGACGGAGGCGTCGGGCAGAATGCGGCAGGATGGCCGGCATACATGTGCAGTGCTGACGGGACGGATACACCGATTGCGATGGGGTTGACGTGTGTTGTGACGTACTGTTGTTACTGAATGGTGGAGTCGTTGGGGATGTACGGTTCATGTCATAGTAGAAAACGTTTCTGATTTTCCTCTACAGCTCTGCATTGTGCAGTGGTATTGAAAGGGGTCATTCAAAAATCAACATAATAGTGGCAATGCTGGAGGCTTAAAAATATGATCGACAAGCAACATTAAGTGCTGAAATATCAGGAGCATTCGGTTTCATCCTTTTAGGGCGGCATACATGCATTCTTTACTGATACCCTGAGCTCTCTGTCGGGTATTCTTGAGTTTCTTTCTTTTGCTTTTTGGTGTCAACATTGTCCTCTACATTTCGGATTCAAGGGCTGTCCTAAAGAGTAGCACGCTTGACGGTACTCCTGGATCGCAGCCCGACTACACGAGTGCTTCGTCGGGCAAGTAGGAAGTTAAAAAAAAGACATTTTTTGACATGTAGCCGTCTTGCGTTCCTTGCGACCCGGCACACGTACAGGAACTTTTATAATAAATGTTACAACACATATCATCATACCATAACAACTCGCTCTAACATGGTAATGATGGAAGACTTGCTATTGGCAAAAGTAAGGATGGGTGTCCTCAAATCTTACGAGAACTAGGAAGCATATGACTTTCATGTGACTTTGCCCCTTTGCTCCAACAACATGGATCAAAGAAGAAAAGAAATGATGAAGAATCCAAGTTTTTCCTGCTGGAAAAACAATGGCGTCATTCTTCTAATTATATCGGATATGTTCGGGCTTTAGTCTGTTGCTGTGCACAGACCCGTTTGCATGCACACACCTTTGCGGTGGCTGTATCACTTCCCGCGGATGCAAGCTGGACGGTCCAGTCGCACGGTGGTCAAAGGTGGATATGGAATCTTTTTTGGGTGTGCGCGTGAGGATGAATTTTAGGTATTTCGAAGCCTGCGTAGCGTATGAATCTTCAGCGCCTGCATCGCCTCGGGTGAGGGAAGAAAGTGGTGGTACCTTCTCGCTTCATCCCACTCACGGCGTCGGGGCGAGCACAACCAAGACAACGTTTCTCTGTATCTTAAGGCTCATTCTATGCCACCAGGAGGAGGTACTTCTGGTGTCTGGCTCTCGATTTTCGTTTACCGTCGATCTCAATGCTTTGTGGACTGCCCTTCCTCAACCCGTCTTGCCCCTCTCGCAACAGATTCAAGCAGGGCTTTTCCACCGCCAGCGCTCAAAATGTCTGAGCGCACCTCTCTCCTGAAGTCATCCGCGGAGCCCAAGCCTGTCTACGTGGTCCCGCGAACGAACAGCATCAGCCGGGTGACCGTGGAAAATGTTAAGGCGTCTCCCCATTGTAAGTTTCGGGGCTTGCTACCTATCGAATTGGCCTCTGACGTTCTCGGTCATATTTGTCCTTGCCAGGAGGCAATCTACTCTGGTGCATCTCGTCCTCATTCTTCCCAATGTTTTATTCCATACGCCCTTACCACAAGACGAGCGTTCGCAGTTTCCCAGCAGCACGGGGTTCTTGGAACGACTCTGGCCATTCGCTTACCAGGATACGACGCGCTACGGCAAAATCCGTAAAGCACCTGTCAAAGTAGAGCCCAAGGTAAAGGACTGCCGCCCGCGTGATGCCTGTGTGTCATGTTTCAGCTGAGAGAGGATGGAATTTCCGGCAGACTCCTCGTCACATGCAACGAAGAGTCACGTAGTGGATTGCGAACCCGATGGGTGTTCGTCACACGACCCTCTTGTATGCGTGGCAAGCGCGCTCTAGGACGCGTTACTGTTTGGCCTGCTCATATGCCTTCCTCCCTTTCCTGGACCTTAGGTGTTCTTTGCCAACGAGCGTACCTTCCTCGCCTGGTTGAACATGTCAGTGACCCTGGCGTCCATCTCCGTCGCCATCCTGGCCTTTGCGGACCACAACGAGTTTTCGCAGATCTACGGCTTTACCGTGCTCCCTGTGGCGGTGGCCTTTGTCATCTATGCGTTGACCACCTACACACGTCGGTGAGAAACAAGGGGGAGGCAAGCCTTGGGGAAGGTGGGAGAGAGTTGAGAGGGAGTATTTCGGTCAGGCGCCAAGGGTTAAAAGAGGGGAGGTTCGAGGAAAAAAAGGAGGCAAGGAGCAGGGAAAAGGATCCGTGCCCGTCGTCTTTGTGGTTGCTGGCGGAAATGCGGTCTTGGGACAGGGTGCTGGACATGCCGAGACAGCTCAGGCAGTGGAATGACGCCGTCTCACCCTCCTTCCCTCCCCTATACCCCCTGGCCCTGTGCCCCCCTCAGCTCCTTCATGCTCCGCAACCGCATGCCTGGGCCCTACGAAGACCGCGTGGGGCCCGTTGTCCTCACCCTCCTTCTCTGCCTCTCCATCACCGTGAACTTCATCCTCAAACTCATCGACATCCTCGGCGATAAGGAGGCTGCTGCCCCCGCGACACCGCTCTCCATGAAGGGGGGCTTGGGTAGTGGGATTAAGTCCGGCCCCGTGGTCACCCCGGCTCCATTGACAGGGCCTTGACTTGAAAGGGGTTTGGGGTAGGTAGGGGCCCGTCAAATGTCCGACGCTTTTGGCGTGAAGACTAAAGGCTTTTGCGGTGTCGGACGGTAGTGTTAAAGCACAAGTGGTTTGGAGAGTACTGGGTAGCGGCTCCAATCGTTGTGACTGTCTGGAGAGGTAGTAATATTGAGTCGGGACTGGAAGTGGACAAAATACATATTGATATGAAAGATGGACAAAGCGGTAAACAGTGGAAACATGCAAAGGAAAGCATCGGCCTAGGTTTGGAAATGGCTGCTTTTTTTAATATGATGCACTTCGTTCCCTCCTGTACTCTAAATCTCGAGATTTTCGACGTCGTCTTACTTTGACCCACGTCTCGCGGCAACCTCATTTTTCGTTCGAAATGAATGGCGGTTTCGTGATGAGTAAATAATGGTGCCGAGCGGCAGTCGGTACCGACATTTTATGCGCACAGAACACTGTATTTGTAACTGTGAAAAAGTACATTATTTTGAGGAACTGGTCATGGATGATAATATGTCTGCATGCAAAGTGGCCGAGTTATTTCAAATTCAAAAAATAACCTCCCGCCATGCAGCCGCTCGCAGCCAAAGCAATGAGTGCCACCAAGAAATTGATTTTCAGAATCATATTTATTTCACCTCGAGTAACAAGGGAAGGTGAGTGCAGTCTCGCAAATAGAAATCTCACGTAGATTCGGCAGCAGTCGAAAGAAACGAGAAATGTCCCACAATTGTACATGTAAGCGTTTCTGGGCCGAGATGTCGTTCAAATAAGTTTCGTCCACCCCAAAAGGATTAGAATCAATCACTTACCATATCAACTAATGTCTATCGACTGCGGTACCTTTTTCTACTCAATGATGGTTGTTCGATGTGAAGGTGCACCCGGACAGCTCGTTAGTAAGGATGTTGCCACCCTGCATTGGTCCCCGGCCGTAAACCCTGGTACCGCCATATATGTATGCAAGTACAAAGTGGATAGTGCAGGCCTGGAATTGGGGATGCAGGACCCTGGAGCAAGAGATAGGATGGCAAGTATGTGCAAAGAAAAGGGTCGGCAACAGAGAAAGCGAAGGGAACCGATGAAAAAGCGGGAGAGGAGCCTGACGAAGACTCAGGGAGTTGACGAGACACGTAGAGATTCGCTTTGACACGTGTGGAAGGTCTATCAATTTGAAAGCGCGCCAGACAGGAAAAGGACACATGCGCCGACAACAAGGGTGATGTACAAAGAGGAAGGCCAGTGCCCATCGCATCAAGGCTTCCGGGAACTGAGCACGCTGTCCGAAAAGGAGTCAAGTGAATGATACGTGATTTCAAATAAAATAGAGAGCATGAGAGACGTAAGCCATTAAAGATTTTCATGCTATTTATTGATAGCCTGGCGGCGTTCACTCCCTTCCCCCTAACCCTTGAGTTACGTAGATACGTCTCACTTTATGGCTTCCCCCGGGGGACCGTCTGACGACAATAGCTTTTTCCGCAACGCCTCCATTTTATCTGGGCGGCCGACAAGAAATTCCTTCCCTTTCACGCGCAATAGAACACCGAGCGCTGGCTCGGAATCATGCTCGACCGCCATACGCAGGGCGTTTTCTGCCAGTCCTTGGATGTCTGTATTGGATAGACCATTCACCTTGACGCGGACTACGTTATGCGCGTCGAGAAGTTCCCGGAGGGAATTTAAATGGCTTTTCAACACCCCCTTGGCTCCCAGGCGAAGGAGGGGCTTGCGTTGTTGGTTCCACAGGGAGTCGAGCACTTGGGGTGGAAAGAGTGGAGAGTTATATTGAACAATTGTCGAGCCTGGCAACGGTTCGGAGGAAGAATCCATAGTTGATGGCCTTTCGTTGTTCTCCGTGTTATCAAGGGCGGAAGCCCCGTACTGACTGCGAGGGCGGGACCAGGGAGACAGCATAGCATGGTCACTGGCAGGCACACACACATTGCTGCCTCCACTGGTCAAGCGCCGGGGGCTGACATGCATGGAAGTGTGGATGAAGGCGTTTGCAGGAAGGAGAAGGAGGAGCATGGAAAGGATGCCGGTGCGGATAGTATATATAGAGGTAGGGGGGGGGCGGACGAAGAGAGGCGGCATTGGCGGCTGGTATCTGTTGAAGTTTTGCTGGGCCGAGCAATCGACAAGACTCAGGCACCTGGTACCACAACACCTGGCAAAAGTACGTAAAGGAAAGGTATGAACGATCAATGTTGACACGGGAATGAACCACACCCACCAAAATCCATGGTTTTGGTGGTGCACAGGCGTCGTTTGTGCGAGGGTGGGAGGCTCGGATCGCCCGAAGAACAAGCCACGGGCGATTTCCTTGCGTGAAATATGTTCAATACCCTTCTGTCAAATCTCCTCCGGACACAGACCCGCGTGCGCGATTACAGGCAGCCACTTTTCGTCGTTTTGTAGATCGTCTTTTGATTCTCATGACTTGGTGGATTCTTTTTTCCTCTTTTCCTCTTACACCCACGCAGAGACACCATCACATGCCTTTCATCACTCCTCCTGTGCTTCGTCGATCCATTCTGCTCAAAGCTCTTCCTCCCTTTGCCTCGCGAAATACATGTTTATTACAACCTGTATTGACGACATGCTTCCGTGGACGCTTCTTTGCTGCTGCCGCCACTGCCCACCGAGCCGTGGATATCGAAAATAAGCAAGAGAGTCATCTTCTCGACGCTGCAGTACGTATATGTCTCCCTCCGCTTTTCAACTCATGTTAAACCCATGATTTCACAGAATTAAAAATTACATCCCAGCCGCCTATCCAGAATTTTATCAATGGCGTTTTTGTTCCATCCAAGGCCAAAAAGTGGATTCCATTGCGAAACCCTGCCACGCAAGAAGTACTAGGCAGAGTGCCCGAAAGCACACTAGGGGAGGTAAGGGTGGAAACAATACCGCAATAAGAGAAAGGAAGCGAGAGAAGGGGATGAAACCATGAAGGCAAAATGTGTCATGCGAATGCTGTTATGCATGTGTACCGTCTTCAAGCACATTGATTGCCTCAATACCTTTTTCGTAACCTAAACCTACTCCGTACAGTTGGAGTCGGCCGTTACGGCGGCCTCCCACGCTCTTGTGGCATGGCGAGAGGTACCGATCCAACAACGCCAGCGCGTCATGTTCAAGCTGCAGCATTTGATCCGAGAAAACACGGAGGCCCTGGCGGAGAGCATTACCCGGGAACAGGTAGGGTTCCAAGGCGGGGGGCAGGGC